AAACCCCTAAACCCCAAACCCCCTACACTACCCTTAACCATGACCCCTTGGGATTTTGGGGTTTGGTGGAGGCTTGGGGGAGTTATGGGCTCTGGGATTGTTTAGGCTGTTGCTGTGGGTTTAGGGTTTGGGGTTTAGGGTGCGTTTTACTATGGGTACCCGCAAAGTTCCGTTGTAATTACAAAGGCCCTCCCCCATGTTTCAACATAAGTGATGTAAGTGTAACCTCGGGGTTCGGATACAACCTTACCAAGCCGTAGAAGCCGTAGAAAACCTGCAAAGTCCTGCCACATGCCATAGCCATGAGCTTTGTGATCTGTAAACCCCAAGATTTAGAACTCTGATCACCCTTTCCCAGGCTCCGTTCTGTCTTTGAGGCTGCAAACTAGTAACCTGCGGGATGCTACCGATTTTTACGAGAAGCTGGGCATGAAGGTGATCGATGAAGATGCTGGTACGGCTTCTCTGGTCTATTCTTCTGGCCCACAAACCATGCTGACCCTCACACAGATCGCCAGCGAAGTTGGGCCATCTACCGGATATGACCATCTGGTGGTTTCGACTGCAGATGTTACAGACGCGACGTCCGCTCTGGAAACGATGGGCGTAAAGGTTCTGATGCCCCCCGCGAAAATGTTCGGGATGAACATTGCTGGAGTCGCAGACTGTGATGGCTACAAGATATACCTTGTCAAGGAGGGCGACTTCCAACAGGACTGAATGGTAAGAATGGCTGCTGCCATGGAATTGTTTCGAGTCTGTCAGAAATAGAGAAGACTGCAGAAATTGAAGCCAATTATAGATACAGATAGATACAAAGGTACGAAACAGCCTTTATAAACATCTATAGATCGAGATTAAATTCACGATCGAAAACCGAAAGACGAAAAGATCAATAATAATCTGAATATGGACAGAAAGATTAGGAAAAAGAAATCGGAAGGAGATGTATATATGATGCTTCGAAACATTATCATAAATAGGTAAATTGATTTTTTGGAATTTCTAGTTCTATTCGAAAACCGAGTTGAATATGATGATTTCTTATCAACCTATCATTTATATTTCGGTAATTATATCTACATCGTCAGGCATAAAATATTTAGGTCATGAGTTGGTAGAGATAGTGTATTCGATTACTATAGACCATAGATAAATAAAGAAATCGTTTATTCAAGAATATATTTTAGTAAATTATTGAAAGGATGTTTTTGTCTAGTTACACTGAATGAATGTGATTCATATCTAAAAGCCGATAATCCTTGATTAAGAGATATGAAAAGCAAAATATACAGAACGCGTCAAAATATAATATTCAAAATTTTCCAACTTATGAATATATATATATATATGTTGTGAGAATTTTGCTGAGATATACTTATGGAATATAGATATTGAAATAAAAGAAAGAAAAATAGGGAGTTGCGTAGGACGGCTGCCGGTACGAAACCACGAACATCTCAGGATTTTGGGATCGTCGGTAAGTCTGCGCTTGTCTGCCTCTAAATCAAGGGCGAATCCTTAGTACGAAGCCCAGAAATTCGAGGGCTTTTTTCAGGGTTTCGTGCCAGACGCACTCCGTAATACGAAACCCTACGAATTCGGGGAGTTTGGGGTCTCGTGTTGTACGAAACTCCGGAGATTGCGGGTAAAGTATGGTTTCGTACCGCACCAGATTTTCGCGAAATTCAATGGTTTCGTACCACGATACTTTCGGTAATGTACTCTAGCATGGTAATTAAGGTACTTTTGAAGACTTTCCGTGTGTGTCGCCCTGTCGCATGGACCGATCAGACATCGCAGTTACAGACCGGAACGTGGAAACGCAAGTTGCCAGCCAGGGCGTGTGAGTCGTGGGGAATGTCGCGGAGTGGCGGACGAGGGCGTGTCGAGGTGTGTCACGGAATTGTGGGCGAGGGCGGAGTTGCGGGCGAGGGCGGTCCCGCGGAGTAGTGCGCGAGGGCATGCATGTGTCAGTGTCGCGAAGTGGCGGGCGAGCGCGTGATATTCGTGGGGAGTGTCGTGGAGTGGCGGCATGGAGCGGTGGGCGAGAAAGGGCCGGAGTCGCGGAGGCGTGTTCGAGAGGAACTCCGCGGAGTGGCGGGCGTGTCGTTGGTGGCGGAGGGCGAGTCGAGGTGAGTATCGCGGAGTAACGGGCGAGGGCCTGCGCGTCGTGCCGAGCGTCGTAGATTGTGAGGGCATGTCGAGGCGAGTGTGGCGAAGTGGCGGGCAAGGCTGTTTGTGTTGGTGCATGGTGGAGTGGGGGGCCAGGGCGTGTGTTTCGTGTCGCGGAGTGGCGGGCGAGGGCGTGAATGTCGCGGGGGGTTGAGGGCACCTATTTATGGGGAAGTGGCCGGCGAGCGTCGTGGAGTGGCGGGCGAGCTTGAGTGGTTGTGCAGAGTGTGGGGATTCGTGGAGAATGGGAATGATCGTGGAGTGACGGATACAGGGTGTGTGGAGTGTGGTGGGATCCATGAGGGTGGGGGTCGCGGGTGAGTGTGTTTGTAATGGGGGGGAATAGGCGAGGATAGATCGAAGGTATAGTCGCGGTGTATAGGTGGGCGCGGGTGGGGAGCGGACGGAAAGTGAGTCGGAGGAGATATCGTGGAGGGAATAGGGGAGTCTCATGAGATGGATGGTGGAGTAGTGGGTGTGAGGGTAAGATCACGGCATTATATATATATATATAATTAATAATATCAACAATAAGAAAAATAAGGATTATTATTTTCATAAGATTTATATTTATATGAATATTTAAGATATATATATATATAATAGCAGATATAGTTATAAAAAGAAAAGGTTGATTTTAATATATGGTGATGGAATTCGGAACCTATTTTTTAATGTAGAAATTATATATATGAATATATAAATATTTTTCTTGGATGAGCAGCCGTCATATATAGATATTATAATTTAAAAGCTATCTTATTGGATAGAAGGTTTTTAATATTGAATTATTATGATATTGTAGTATTATAAAGCAGAGGGATTCAAATTATATGAAAAAATGGAGAAAAATGGTGGGATATGATGGACCGAAGAAAATAATTTATAAATATTTTGATTTATAATTTCGAGATCTAGAATATATAATTATTGACTCTTTCTATATGATATATTTCTAAATATATATTTTGATAGGAGAATAAATAAAAAGACTTATCGATTAAAAAATAATCTGATATAAAAATTGAAGATTAAAAAATAGAAGAACATATATTGAATTTATAATAAAGGCCAAAAATAATTGAATAGCATGCTAGAGTCTAGATTATATGATTTTGACTTGAATCTATATCGAGATAGGTATTTGTAATCTTAGATAATAATTATATATGTTTAGATGTCTAATTAAGATATTATTGAAATATGATAGGATAGTATTATATCGAATTATATCTAAATAATCTTATAGAATGAACGAATTTTCTATAATAAAGATATATATTTTAGTATTAAGATATGATTTTTATTAATATTTCAATTATTAGAAAGGAAGATTTCATTATTTCTTTCATAATAAAAGTAAAATATTATAAAGGATTATCAATATTAATATAAAGGATTATCAATATTAATCATATTTAATATAATTTAAATTTCAGTAATAAATATTGTATTTTCATGGTATTTTAAAGAAAAATTTGAATAATATTTTATTAGCTAGATAATGAAAAGAATGATGGGATTGGAGGTAGAGTATCTTAAATTTCTTATTTAGATCGTATTCGATTTAGGAATAGGAGCTGCTAGGTTCAAGATATCTTGGATTTCTTATCGGAATCGTCATATGCGTATCTGATGTTGTCTAGGGCAAGAGCCTGGAGCATTAATCAATTATCTTCTAGAAGATGATAATATTCAAGAAATTCTTGAAGAATTCTTGAGATTCTAATGTGAAAGAATTGATTAGGATTATTTTCAAGATCATTCTTGATAAATGAAATGAATTCGATTATTTATGATTAGTTTATATCAATTTCTCGATAATTATTTAGAATTTTTTGGAATTCTTTGATATTATTTGAAAGAATTCTATAGGATTCATTGATAATATCCTAATGATTAGATTATTAATATTAATTATCGGGAAATGATTTTGAATTGATTATATATATTCTAATATTATATATATCCATATGATTTTTCGACGACAAATATTAGATGATATTTTCATGTATTATTCTTTATATTTAAGATTCAATATATTATAAAGAATTGAATATAATAAGAATGGATAGGTAATAA